TTTTCTTATTTGTTTCATTATAATTCTATAGCACCAAAGAAAAAAACCCATCTTTTTTTAAAAGAAAATTTTTACTTTATACTTGTTAATTTACAATGTTTGTATACATTGTTTTTCACATTAGATATTTCCCATTTCCCTTACCAACCCTTCCCTCAACTATGTTTAACCCCACTCCCCAGCTCCACCCATCCTCACCTATCTCTCCTTCACATCCGCCCTTGGATCCTCATACACGTTCTACAATAATGGTCTTATACAGTATTTGACCTTATGGGATTGAGTCAGTTTACTTAGCATAATGCTCTCCAGTCTCTCCCAAATTAGGTAGTTGTCATCATGTGCCGCCGAATCATCTGTGACTATAATGACCCTATGAACAACAGCCCCAAACCCTGTTCTGTGTCAGTCTTATTGCCTCTGACTCACCTCTCCCTATGACCTGTCACTGAATCAATCCATCTCATCGAGGGTCTTCCTCTCCAGAGCTCTCTACCCTCCCAAGCATGACGTACCACTCCAAGGACTGATCCTGCCTTGCAACATGTCCAAAGTATGTCAGAAGAAGCTTCAGAAACCTGGGCTCCAAGAAACATTCTGGCTTCACCCTCTCCAAGATGAACCTGTTTGTTCTTCTAGCAGTTCATGGTATATTCAATACTCTTCTCCAGCACCACAGCTCAAAGGAATTAATTTTCCTTCTGTCATCCTTAGTTATTGTCCAGCTTTCTGTAATTGCAAAGACCATGGCCTGTATCAGGAGCACCTTAGTTTCTAGACTGACATTGTTGCTTTTCAGTACTTTTACAAAATCATTGTTTCTGTGAGCTACATAGAATTCTGCTGTGAAGGTACTATATTTTCTCAATCCATTTGATTGTGATTGGACATTTGGGCTATTTCCATGTTCTTGCTAGGGTGAATAATGCTGCTATGAACATTGGTAAACATATGTACATTTGTGCTTCAGTTTTCGTTTTCTCTGGGTATATTCTAAGCAGTGGAATAAATCAGTCATGGAATTTCTATGTCCAGCTTTTTGAGGAAAGGCCAAACTGCCTTCCAGAGAAGTTGTACCACTTTACAATCCCACCAACAATGTATACGAGTTCCTACATCACCACATCTTCTCCAACATTTATTATTTGCTGTCCTGTTACATTTTGCCACTGTTACTGAAGTGAGATGGTATCTTACTGTGTTTTTTTT